ACTAAAAATTATACCCAAGCTCTTAAACTCTTTCCCTTCCCAAAATGTTGATCTGCCATATACCTGCACATATGAATGAACGTATCGAATGTGCCTAAGTACAAAAATGTTGATTGCAGTATGTTACATATCACTGCACATCCCATAGTAAAAGCAATCATTCTAGGACTTTTATTTACAGTTAAGTTTAAAGTGATGACCTGCAGGCCTTTTAAAGCGTCGCCATTGGACACATGCAATTTTAAGTATCATGTTGAGTATCTCTTTACTCTGCGCAACCTCATCTATTATATTTTGACAAACAATTGGGTAATATGTTGGTTTCTCTTAAATTGAAAAAAAAACTGTGCTTGGTGTTTTCAATCAATATAGTAATATTATATGTGTACAGTAGCACTCAAAACACCCAAATTCTAGTGCATAAATCAGTTATCCAATATTGTTGCCCTGTACCTTTAAATAAATCAACTGTAACCTAAATTATAAATATTCAAATAAACCGTTCATAAAACAAATCAATGAATTATGTGAACACACAGCCTCTCACCAATCAGAAAGACCCCAAATTATAGGTGGTCTTAGTGTACTCATAAGCACACAGGCTCAGCTGCAGCAAGGTGTATCCTAGGAGAGAAACCACATGGCACACCAACAGGGACTGTGTATACTCTCCTCTCTTCGTTTCGCTGACATCAGTGTGGCAAGAGAAAAAGCATCCCATAATGCAAACCTGTCAGGTTAAACTGTAAAACTTCTCACAATCAAATGTTTGTAGAGAACATCAGAGCCAGCCCTTTGAGAATGTCTAATGCGGCAAAACACGTCGGGGCGGAGCCTGTGCTGATGTCATCACGCACACTAGAGCCAGTGGTGGTGTGGAGTTTTGCAATGCCCTTTACATACATTTGATTGTGAGTAGTTTTGCAGCTTATGAATTATTAAACCTGTCAGTTATAATTTTCTCTTGCTAGGTTGATGTGAGCAAAGGGAGAGAAGAGAGTATACACAGCCCCTGTTGGTGTGCCCAGTGGTTCCTATATTCATGTCCTAGGATACATCTTGCTGCAGCTGAGCCCCAGTGTTTGTGAGTACACCAAGACCACCTATAGTTTGGGGTCTTTCCGATTTGGTAAGAGGCTGTGTGTGGCAATTGTGGTGGAACTCAAGGTGAGATTTAAATGGCATAGTTACCTGGATGGACAATTTTTTGGACTTTGTTACACAAAGTGTATTTCACTGGAGGTGTTCACATTATTCATTGATTTTATGTGCCCTAGATTTAACTATAAGTATATTTAAGTATAAAATTTAAGTATATTTTCTCCTAAAACTCTTTCTTGTGCTTCATAAGCCATTACACCAATTCCAAAAAATTGAAACTACTACTATTATATTGTCTCTGCTTTCAGAAAATATTTAATTTAAGGGTTTTAGGTAATCTTCAGGTCTAACGTGTGCCAAAAAATGCAAAAACCGCTCTGGCAACAAAATAATTAAAGACGAGTACACAATACAAAACAGGTTCGAAAAGCATTTACTGAAATTTTAATGTTTAAAATGGGAAGGTAGTTTGCATAAAGATGATGCTCTGATGAATTCAGCAAATTTCCTGTGCAGCAGTCCTGTTCAAGCACATCTCTATCACATTCTGAAATATCAGTTAAGGGTGGACTTGGCATTTAACCTACTTTACTATGTAAAAGAAATCCGCAAAAGGAATATTATCCTTCAGCTTAAACCTGGTCATAGGAGAGCAGATGGAATGAAAATGTTATTTTAGGGTTTTACATTTTGTTGGAAAGGCAGTTTGTGCCCAAGAGATGTAAAGTTTGTTTCAGACCGCATTTTATCAAAGTCGATGTCTGGAAGTGCTTTTATACTGGGGCAGGATTAAGTGTGAGAAAACAAGTGTGAGATTTCACAGCTTTATAAATGCCTAAATAGTAAGACTTTCTTTTAACCTAACAATGAAAATCTTCCTAGACAATTGTCTTCTAATTAGTTCCATATTCTCGTAATGTCTGTGTTTAACATTACTGAAAGCCCACTTATATGATGAAATTTTGACTTTTCTCCTGGAACGGTGTTTCCTCCTGCCGTGCTTTATAAACAATCATGCTGTAAAGCATCAATCTACACTACAGAGACTTTTTGATTTTCAAGATGAAAGTAGGGTAATCTCTTACACTTGTGTGTAGGTTTGTTCAGCTTTATTGAATAAAGATCCATTCCACTGACCTGTTACAGGACTGAAATTTCAGCAACCCTGTTATGCATATGTAGGGCTGGCGATTCAACGCCTAATGAGTATACACCATGCGGCTGACCCAAACATGTTGCTGGTAACAGACAAGCCAGTAGAGATTTGGTAAAGGACACATTAAGTTGTCAGAAATGCTAATAATTATGTAAATCTAGTTTCCAGTGTGGTATTGCAACTGGCAAACAGCTGATAACAAAAGCGGCAAAAGTTTTAACTTGTGCACAGGGGTGGACTGACAACTCATGGGGCCCCCAGGCAATAGGGGATCATGGGGCCCCTGTGTCTTTGCCCAAACTCATAAAAGCCTATGAAAAAGGTACCAGGGGCATCTCATGGGGACCCCTACTGACCCTGGGCCCTCGGGCAGTGCCCGAGTTTCCAAATGGTCAGTCCGCCCCTGCTTGTGCAAGACCCTTCTTGATGCAGCAGCATTGGGGAGACAATAGCTCCGTTCACTGGTGTGCCCAGTTCAGTAGATGAAGGTCACCTTTTGTTCTTGGTGTGGCTTCTCTGAGTCCTAAGTAATTACTGTCTTTTTTATTAATTAATTTATTTTTAATTAGTTTCACTATTTTGTTTTCCCAAACGTCAGTACTACTTTACTTTTCATTTATTCCTATAGATGCCATCAATGCTGCAATCGTCTTGACTGTTTTTTTATAAAGCCTGGGCACATCAAAACTTTTTCTTATTTTAAGTTTCATATTCTTTATTTACTTCACGGCATTTACAATATGATGTCATCAAATAGAACAATGAATGACAATGAACAATTATCCCTAATGTGGCAGACTGAAGTACAAACATGCACATAAAAAGAAAGCATATATGCAAACCTTAAAGTGTTACTAAACCCAAGACCCTGCATTCACTATATCTGGTCTCCCACAGTACACAGAACATGGAAATGCAATTATTTTAGCAAATATAAACTGCTAAATACATTTTCTCATCTGCAGTTAGACCAGTATTGTGACGTCTATCAGTGTCCAGCAGAGCACAAGTTAAAGCTTTTGAGCGGAGTTTTCATTTTGCTCTAGGGGGGTGCAGAACCCCTGACCTCTGTCTGGACAGTGCTGACTGGTCCTGTGCTGATCACATGCACACTCCAAAGAAGAAAAAAAAAATAAATCTCTAGCAATACACAGCAAACTGAGCATGTGCAGAGTGACTCCACACGATATGTTTTATCAGGAGATAAGAGGGGGACACTGGAAGAAGGGGAGAATCGGAGAAGTCAGGATCAAACAGCCTTTTTATACAATGCAGAGGAATAATCCCTTAGGCTCCACAGGATAACAAGCATGCTTTACTGCATATACAGACTGATTTTCCTGTCATGGGTTTAGTAACACTTTAAGGCCTGATTCACACTAGTACGATTTCTGATGCTACTTGAGTCACAGAGAATATCATGAGAAGGGAAATCTCATTGGTTTCAATGGTGCCTATTTTAATCAATGCGACTCAGAATGGTGAGATTTTTTAAAAGGTTCTTGCACTACTTTGTTGCAATTTACAGTGCGGCTTAGCAAAGTCACATCAAGTTACAACACATAATAGAACCATAAATTGCCTCAAAGTCACCACGCAATAGTGTACTCTGAGCCTAAAAGGATATATGTGATCAGAAAATGTTTCTGTTTAGAACAATGATGTCAAATTAACTTTTTTTTTGTTCAGAATTGCAGTCTTACATATAAAGATGTATCTATAGGTATAGCTCTGTGCAGATTGTGTGTAAATGGTGGGGTAATGTAATGTAAGAGGAGGTGTGTTGGTAGATAAGTGGGAGAAAGAAGAGAGGAGATAAAGGCACACAGGGAGAGGAGGTGGTGGGAGGGGGGGATTGGGTATGGGATTGCTGAAAGAAAGGGTAGCAGATCTGCTGCACCCCCCCCCCCCCCCCACTTCAGATAGAGGAAGGCAAATGAGGGCACCAGGCTCCCATGCCAGTCAACCTATTGACAGATCTATAGGGCTTTGCTCCTGTTTTAAGTAGCACACGCTCTACTCGACAAAGGTCTGAGGTATATTCAGCAGAAAGCTTAGATTGGATCCAGTAAAACCATGTTAGCCTAAAGGAATCTGATTTTTCCTTTAAAAGTGGTTGAAATCCCTTACATGTGCCCAGCCTCAGATGATACACTTAGATTAAACAAGATTTACCTGTTTATCTGCAGTCATTTCCTCTCTATGGCCTTCTAAAACATACATTTTACACAGCATCTCTCAGCACTAAAAGGCAGGCAGTGGGGATCACAAGTCTCACAATGCAGAGCTCAGTGAGGAGAGCACTGAACCCTAATTGGAGAAAGGGGACACAAATCCCTTCACACAGTACACAGAGAACAAGTACAGCTGTGACTATCAATCACAGGTTGTGTGCTGGATCTCTCCTCCCTCATTAATAATTATCTCTCAGGAAAACTGTCAGAAGTGTCCTGTGCAGATAACAGAAGAACAAGGCAGCAGAGAGAAATCACACTGCTTTGGTTGGATACAACTACACAGTATAGAAGACAATGCTTTGTTCATATTTCATATCTGAGGCTTACAACCATTTTTTGTTGTTAGGTCTACCATACTCATGATATTGTTCACCCTAATGATCCAATAGGCAAGTGAGGGGGTTGGTGTTTTTTGTTTCCCTGAGCTTGGAATACAGGCTTTAGCAGTGTTTTATGGTCCTTCTTAATGAAAAGCACAAGCTGAGATATGTACATTTTTTTTGCAGATGCTGAGGACTTGCTCATTGCCTGACCTTTCAAAACTGTTCAAGACCTCGGTAGAGATGTACCAAGTGTGGCTGATTTGCAGGGGGAAGAGCAACTGGAGATAGAAGAAATTGAGGATGAACCAGCACAAGATGCAGATCATTCAGATTCTGAAGACACGTAAGGAAAATGTTTTCCATAATTTATTCCAGGGTGGATGAAAACTGTGTCCTTGGAACTTAAACAAGTAATACAGTACCTTCATTCCTTCTTGTATATTTTTCATTTCTGAGCTCGAACATATAGTTTGGGTTACTTCTCCAACAAGGAGACAGACAACTGCAAAAATACATTTTAGGTAGAGTGGGGATGATGTGTAACTTTTGACAATGTTTTATTCGTGATCTGTGCCTTCCTGTCCCAGTAACAACGACACCTATTTCTTGTCCTGGTGTCCCCCTAATGGGTTACAGGAAGACATTAAAAAAACCTGATAGGCATTTAAACGTTTCTCCACTGTACAGCGAGTACTTAACCTGCAAGTTGTTACATGACAGCCATTTTGCCAAGACTTTTGTCTAGTCTCATGCACTCTGTTAAAAGAAAAAAATACATCAAGTCCTCACATTAGGAAATGTCCTCCTGTACTCTGTTTCCAAATTCACTTTTTCCAAATGGACTTTAAAGACTAGACACAGCAGAACACCCATCACAATATGACTTTCAAGTTGTTAACGGGTTCAATTATTTATGTTTTGATTTGTTTTGTAGTATGTTTGGGGATACAGACAGAGACTTACAGGAGCTGCAGGCATCAATGGAACAGTTATTAAGAGAGGATTCCCAAGAAGGGGACTGTGAAGCTGAAGAGGCTGGAGATGAACTACTACCCAGTAAAATGGAGGAGGAGGAGGAAAATAATGAGGGAGTGCAGGAGGCTGAAGCAGAAGATGAAGAGAATCCGCAGAGCAGTGAAAGCATAATTAATGAGGAGTGGCATTCAGGTAAATTCCACAGGTGTCATTTATGCATGTTTTAGCCCAGAATTATTCCTGTTATTGCTCAAATTGCATGCATTGATCCACTGAAGACTCCTACTTGTACCGCTGTGGCATGTGCTGAGGAAACACAAGTCGGCCCAACCCCTACCTCCAACTCACTGGCTGTGATTGACAGCAGCAGGAGCCAATAGCGTCCACTGCTGTGTCTGCGCCAATGAGTAGAGAGAGAGAGCTGCAGCTGTTGTGCATATTACTGGATCCAGATCGGGCCCACTTAAGTATAGGGGGGCTGCTGCTTGTAGAATGTTTTTTATCTTAATTCAGAGAATGCATTATGGTAAAAAAAAAATCTTCTGCCTTTTGAACCACTTTTGAAGAGTAATTCTATTTTTGCATTCAAATTTGAGAAAAACCTACTATATGTTTGTGTCCCCATTCTAGCATACTCCCAACCCCTCAACATGCCTAATGGAGTTCCAGAACCTCAGGCGCCAGACTCTTACCCAACACTTACTGCTGTCACTTCAAGTCTAGCTTCTGCGTATATAGGTGACAGGCTCATCTCCTAGCGGTTAACACATTCCTTTTTTGGTGGTCTGCATATCTAGGAGAGAAGAGGAGGGAGGGGCTGGGGGATGTGCACAGCCGCTCTATTGTCTTGGCGGCAGCTCCTCCAAAGCTCGCTCATGCAGCCTGTACAGACTTTGTAACTGTAACTTGTAGCTGCCCTTTGGCAACAACCCCTCTCTCCTCTCTATGGTACTCACTAGGTGGCAGAGAGCAATTTTAGGTGAGAAAGGACAGCTTTGTACTGGAAAGGCAGGTGTGGGGGAGGAGCTCTGTACTGGGGAGGGGTTACTGTGAATTTGGGATAAACCGGCCTGTGAAATATTCACTCTGAACTCTGCACCCTGTACATAGTGCACTTTGAACTCTGTGCCCTGCACATAGTAAATGGCTGATCCTTGCACCCTGTACATAGCAAATGGTTGATCCTTGCACCCTGTACATAGCACACTCTGAACTCTGTGCCCTGTACGTAGCAAACTCCTGAGCCTTGTGTCCTGTACGTAGCGAACTCCTGAACTTTGCGTCCTGTATGCAGCACACTCCTGAACTTTGCGCCCTGTACATAACACATTTCTGAGTCCTTTAGCCTGTACATGACTCATTCCTGCACTCTGCGTTCTTTATGTAGCACATTCCTGAGCCTTGCACCTTGTATGTAGTGCACTCCTGAGCCGTGCACTCTGAACTCTGCACCTTGTACATAGCGCACTCCTGAGCCCTGCACTATGAATGTAGTACACTCCTGAACCCTGGACTCTGTATGTAGTGTACATCTGAACCCTGTGCATAATGCTTATGGTATTTAACAATTCAAACAATTTCTTTATAAAGCCCTCCCACTATTTGGCAATTTGACCACATCCACCCTTCAATGTGGCATGCTCTCTGCTTTTGGGGGAGGGGTGTCATGGTTGTAATTCTTCACCTATTCTCTGAGGAAAAAAAAGATTTATCAGTCCTGTGAAGACTGAGATTGAGCTCTGCAGCCACTTTTTGCAGCAGTTGTTTTTCCTTATTCTGGGTCACAATTCTGTGCAATGTCCTACTTGTCTATTTCAGTTTTCCATGTCGACCACACTTATGCTTATTAGATGACGATTTCCCAGAAATTGTATATGCGACAACCTTCTGATACTGTACCTCGCGACATGGCAAATAAATTGGCAACTTCAGTCACAGACACCAGCTACGTGGGCACCAACAATTTGCCTTCTTTGAAGCTCAGTAAGCTCTGACATGACTCCATATTACTAGCAGTGCACACAGTGAATGACGAACGTGAGGCTTCCCACCTGTTAGCTAGGAGTCTCATCATATAGCGGAAACATGTCATCACTTTCACACCTGCAAATCATGTAGTGTGTCCATTTTTTTTTTTGTCTAACCCCTGTATATTAGAATTTATTTATTAAAATACAAATACAAAATTCTACTGAGGTGATCCTAGTTACTTCTTCAAAGTGTAATCTTTACAAATAAAGATTCTAAAAGTTTGCTTGTTATAGAATCTTTTGTATCTTTCTGATAAAATGTAATAAATTAGACACTAACTTTGTTAGTAGAGGTTACACTTTTAAATATTATCTAGGACTATATCCATAGTAAGGGCTGATTTGTATTTAAATTTTTGGAGTTTTCTCCCTAGAGTAGATGTGCTCCAAGTGTTAATTTATATACATTTATTACCTTTTTGATGTTCCTTAGGGAAGTTATCATGGCTAGTTTGTAAGCTCTAACGAGCAGGGCCCTCTGTTTCCTCCTGTACCAAATTGTATTGTAACTGTAATGTCTACCTTCATTTTGTAAAGCGCTGCGCAAACTGTTGGCGCTATATAAATCCTGTATAATAATAATAATAATGGCTGACTACAAGCATCTGCAGGGTATACATGGCTCGAAAATTGTCCATTTCAGCAGGAACCGTCCACCTTTTGGATCCATGTGTATTGCTGACTGTTCAACAGAAGCTGGACTAACAATCAGCTTATATCGAACTGTCTTGCTGGAAAATCAGAATTTGATCAGCACCTGCAGCCTGTCAAAATACTATGGTGCAGCAGGGAAGATCGCTGCGTCACATATCATTTATGTTGATACAGGGATCTGACTTTTTTTTTTTTTTTTTTTTTTTTAAACCCCCTAGTTGAACAAAAAAAAAACTGTATATTCCCTGCTTGTGGACAGACTCCGCTTTCCTTCATTAACACACAACTGCATTTTTCATTGCTTCAACTTCCACTGTTCATTCATGATTCCTGACTGAATCCGGTTTGTTTTATTTTCTTGTAGTAAAGCATTTTTCTCTGTCTTTGCAGATGATAGCAGTGTGGATTTTGAAAGTGAATGTGATGATGGTGACAGTGTCTTTGGTCATCTGGAGGAAATGAGACTTAAATTGGAGCAAGAGATTGGCTTTGATAAGTTCATTGAAGTTTACGAAAAAATAAAGGTAAAGTTTTGTACCAGATGTATCTATACTCTGTTTTGTTAAACGCATATTGATCTATATTAATATTTAAGAGTAATTTTTCATGTCTTTTTCAAAATTTTTAGTGTAAGCAATGATACACAAATGGAACTTAAATCAAATGAATGAGTTTGCATTTTTTACGTTTCTTATGAGTGCTGCTATTTTACATGTTAACTTAGTGATTAGAATCAAAATACAGATCCGCTTTTTTGCAGCTGTTCTAATTCTCACTTCCAGGATGCATGGACATCAGCATCCAATGAGGAATTTGATGGACATAACTTAAACTTGCCTAGCATACCTTGACAAAAGGAAGTCGAAAGCAATATTTTGTGTAAATCTGAAAATCATTTACATTATTTGTTCTCATTAATACCATCATAGTTGGTCTGCTTGGGCACTTAAACCACTTCACAGATGACTTTTGCTGTCTACTGTACAGTTGGGAAGAGAGAAATACACATATAATCCATTTACTATTGACTTGACTTTTCCCACCAACTTGCTTAATATTGGATGAATGTAATATAATGCCGAATGCCATTTAGTATCCTTAAGTACCGCCGTGGCATAGTGTTCAGTATTTTAGGCCTTCTAGACAATATTAGAACAGCTCATAAAATGTTTTGAATATTACAGGCCTTGTAGATAATCTAGTATAGAGTTTACTATTGCAGTCCTTGTAAATTACATACTATAGCATATAGAACATGTTAACTATTACAGGTCTTGTAGATGATAAAGCATAACTCACAGAACTAGTTGATTATTACAGGTCTTGTAAATTATACGCAGTCTAGTTCAACGTGTTCGCTATTACTAGTTTTGTAGATTATATTGTATAACTCCTAAAACTTGTGCACTCTTACTGGCCTTGTAGATTGATATACACTAACCGGCCACTTTATTAGGTACACCTTGCTAGTACTGGGTTGGACCCCCTTTTGCCTTCAGAACTGCCTTAATTCTTCATGGCATAGATTCAGGTAGTTGTTGGAAACTCATCCACAGAAATGTTGGTCCATATTGACATGATAGCATGCCTTTCTATCATCTCGAATCAATCTGCCCATTGTTCTCTGACATCAACCAGGCATTTTTGTCCACACACACCTGCCACTCACTGGATATTTTCTTTTTTTTTGGACCATTCTCTGTAAACTCTAGAGATGGTTGTGCGTGAAAATCCCAGTAGATCAGCAGTATTTGAAATACTCAGACCAGCCCTCCTGGCACCAACAACCATGCCATGTTCCAAGTGACTTAAGTCTTCTTTCTTCTCCATTCTGATGCTCGGTTTGAACTTCAGCAAGTCATCTTCACAACGTCTAGATGCCTAAATGCCTAGAGTTTCTGCCATGTGATTGGCTAATTTACAATTTGTGTTACCAAGCAATTGAACAGGTATACCTAATAAAGTGGCCAGCGAGTATAATATCGCTCATGATATTTGTCCACTATTACATGCCTTGTAGATGATCTAGTACAGCTCATAGAACTAGTTCATTATTAGGACTTATAGATGATATAGCATACCTCATAAAATGTGTCCATTATTACACAGTATAGTACAGCTTATAGAACTTCCAGAACGTCCAGTATTACTTGCTTTGTAGATGATATAGTATAGCTCATAGAACTTGTCCACAAATAAAGATCTTATAGATGATATAGTATAGTTCATAGTAAACAAGTTCTATGAATTCTACTATATCATCTACAAGGCACATCTTTGTGAACAAGTTCTACTACAGGCCTAATAGACAAAAAAAAATAAAATAAAATAATTATAAGTCAGCACACACAAACCCATAACATATAATATCCCTTAAAGTCGTATCATCCCTAATCTTTTCGCATATTTTCAGGCGGCCCAAATAGCACAATTATCTTGTACTACGGCCAGGGGATATGTCCCCCAATGGGTTGGGATTGAGGCTCTTTCGTGCCGTCCATATGCTATTGGTACTCTCATGTGGCTTCCCAATAGATTGCGCCCTCCTATTTTGTGTCCTACTCTATCTTATTCATTGTCAGTGTGGGATAGATGGCGAGCTCGTAAACCTTTTTTCTCTCCGCATACTCCGTTGGCTCCGGTGTTTGGTAATCCTGAGTTTGTTCCGGGTTTGTCTTTCGCGGGGTTCCAATGGTGGATTAATAAGGGTTTGCTACGTATTGGTGATTATTTAGATGGGGTTCGCCCTCGGTCTCGTCAGTATTTTGTGAATTTTTGTGGGATGCCTCGTGGAGAGATATTTCGTTACCATCAACTATCGCTCTTTTATTGATAGCAAACTTAGACTACTCACAGAACCTTGTGCGCTTACTTCCCTCGAGGTCTCCTGTGGGGCGAGTGGGGTAATGCGGGGTCGCTTGTCCATTGTTTATGCTTTGTTGGTTGATCCTCTAACAAAATTGTCTTACATGACTTTATGGGAACGGGATTTAAATAGTTCATTGGATTTGGATACCTGGCGGACGGCGGCCCATGCCTTATCGAAGATTTCGATTAACACTGATCTTGTTGAATCTAATTACAAGACGCTACTTCGGTGGTATTTGGTCCCTGCTCGCCTAGCCATTATGTATCCTTCCGTTTCTTCTGCCTGTTTCCGACGCTGTGGTCTAGAGGGTACTATGTTCCATGTCTGGTGGAAATGCCCAGTCGTGAGTAGGTTCTGGATCCGCATATTTAATTTTCTTTACTCAGTGACAGGAATTAATATCCGTAGATCGCCGGAAGTAGCCTTGTTTAATATACTACCCTCTGATGTTCCCAAAAGATCGATTAAACTAATTGTATATATCTTATTGGCGGCTCGCATTACTATAGCTAGGAGTTGGAAGCAATCTTTGATCCCGCTGGATAGGGTGAAACAAAAACTGAACTGGATAATGGTTAATGATAAACTGACGAGTATCGTCTCTGATGATGTGTCCAGATTTGAGAGGACTTGGGATCCTTGGATTGCTTATATTACTGTATCGTGAGTGTCTGGCAGCTGACCCCCCCCCCCCCCCCCCCCCCCCCCCCCCCCCCCTTTTCTCTATTTTTCCTCTTTTTTTCTCTTTTCCTACTATTTGTTAAACATTTTTATTTTTCTTTGTTATTTTTGGTCTATTTTGCTATAATTGTTGTTTATTGATCTTTGAAACTTGTATATTTTGATGGCTTTGACTTTTTTCATGTGCATTGTAATGCTATTATCTGCTAAATTTTGATACCAGTATTATGTTTATGATTCTGAATCTGGTTCCATTTTGTTGGTGGGCCCTTTCTTTTTTTTTTCTTTTCTTTTATTGTTAGCCATCTTGTTTTAATATGTTTATTTCTCAATAAAAATATTGAAATATAAAGTCGTATCATTATCCTTCCCCTGAAGTACCAGTATACAATATATCAACCGACTTAAATGAACAAACTTAAAGTCCCAAAAAATAAATAAAATGTCCAAAATTTCACATAAAAAACTAAAAAAAAAAGTCCCACGTGATATCCAAATCTTGATGGACAAGTGCTCACTATTCCAAAATGGAGATGAAGATAAAACTCAGACGTTCTTCATATACCTCAAAAAAAAAAACAAAATCTAGACATAGTGTATTATCTTAGGTAGCACAAGTATAGTGCCACACGTGCAGCATGCAAAACACTATAGGATCCTTGTTGACAAAGTCCGGAAGTGACGAAACACGTCCCAGGGCACGTGACGTATTGACGTTCCCGGAAGTGCCTCGGTGGCCATTTTGGATTCTGGAGCGCGGGTGTTTGCCGTTCCTGGGACTCGCGGTGCACTCCTGGTGCTCCCCCCAGAGCTGGAGTGAGAGTGGTGGGCAGGGGTGTGACAGGGTGACTCCCTGGAGATTATTTTTGATATCACAATGGTGGTACTCAGTTGTCGCTAGGAGCAGGAAGCCGGTTTTATCAGATTTTTATGTAAGTGGCTACAATAAAATTTATATATCAATTTTTCATATACTGATTCCTGGTCTGTTTGTGAGGTCCAAAGGAACAAGAGGATGCCAGCTTGGGGATTTTCCATGCACACTGGTTGATCACATGCTGATATAATTTTGAGTTAGGGTAATTATGCATTTTTTATATGGTTTGCAGTGATATCTATCGAGTATCCTTTTCACGAATGCTGTGACACTATAGTGTTTTGCATGCTGCACATGTGGCACTATACTTGTGATACCTAAGATAATACACTATGTCTAGATTTTGTTTTTTTTTGAGGTATATGAAGAACGTCTGAGTTTTATCTTCATCTCCATTTTGGAATAGTGAGCACTTGTCCATCAAGATTTGGATATCACGTGGGACTTTTTTTTGAGTGTTTTTATGTATGTGAAATTGTGGATATTTTATTTATTTTTGGGACTTTAAGTTTGTTCTTTTAAGTCAGTTGATATATTGTAGGCCTAATAGACAGTATAGTACAGCTTATACAGTATAACCTGTTCACTTTACAGACCTAGTAGACATTATAGAATGGCTTATAGCACATGTCCACTATTACAAGCCTATTAGAAGAATTATTTCTGCTATCAAAACAGTGGCAGAATTGATTTTTGGAGGTTTTGGTGGTATAAATAACATCTATCTCATTTAACATGATGATTATCTAGATTATTGATGATCATTTGCTGTATTATTGAGTATAGGGCTCAGCATTTAGAGTGCAGAAGTGTGGAGCATTTAACATTTTATTTTACAGAGTAGAGAATGGGGATGTCTTGAGTATGTTATCTACAGCACAATGTGTGGACAGGACACTCTACAATTCACCACAATACACTTGACCTACCCCGCTACACACCTCTATACAATTAGCACATATACCCATCAATGGATCAGTAGGCTGTCACTTATCAGACTGCTTTCAGATCTGCACATCCTGGTTAGAAGCCTTCATTGTCCTTGAGCTTTAAGACATGAAGCTCTACCCATTTCCTGCACATCACTTCCTACTCCTCCTACTGTTGGCCCTCTGCAGATTAAAAGCTATTTTGTAAATTTTGTTTTTAATAGAACTGTTGATGACCTCTTCCTAGTAGTTAACTTCTGACAGGAAAGTAATTTCTCCATTTTTTCCATAATTTATGTGGAAACCTTTGTTTTTAACAGCAGGGAGGAAGTAGAAGAAATTAACCTTATTTTATAAGAGTATCTAGGCTAAATATTAGGACTAATATTGGTTTTGGCAAATCCACAGGATGTTCAGGCATAAAATTCTGTCGTAAATCAAAAAAGGCAATATTGTAGCGCCTGTACTGTATGACCTAGCAAGAATATAAACTAAAAATAAAGCTTTAAATCCTGAGAAAAAAAGGCATCTGCCCCTAATAAGTGAATAAACACTCTAACTATCAAGACCATAAATAGACAGGGGCTTGCTCAATAGAATACATCATATAAATATGTGTCATATAACTTAATAGATGAAATACACTAATATAAAAAGTGTTCTCCCAACACCACGTGTAATAGTATATCTAATACAGAGTATGGTGAAGTCCAAAACCTGTAAATGGATGAGAGTCCCATAGGAGGATGTCACATAGATCCAATAAATTTTTCTCCACCACTTGTAAGTAATAAATGAATTTCCCACTCACCAGAAGGTGTTGACCTCCAATCTGGGTGGTCAAATAATGCTAGGTTAATCAAATGACATATCGTTTCCCCACTGCAGGCTCTCATATGATGGGTCTCCAAGTTCCTCTTCTTGTAGTAGTAGCTCTCAAAGAAGCTCAGAAAAAGCTCTAAATGTAATATGTAACCATAGTTTATAAATATAGTAAAAAATGAACTCACATATTATGGTGCCTGTACCCCAGCACCAGTCTGTGGAGCCAATATGGGAACAGCCATATGTAAAGCTGGCGTGCATTCCAAGCCTCTTGTTAGCGGGCCGGACGTGACATCATGTGGGACCCGGATGTGATCCCATCATATGAGAAGCTGCAGTAAGGAACCCATATGTCATTTGATTACCCTAGTGTTATTTGACCACTCAGAGTGGAGGTCAACACCTTCTGGTGAGTGGGAAATTAATTTACTCACAAGTGGTGGAGGAAAAAACGTATTGACACCCTCCTATGGGACTCTCCTCCATTTTACAAGTTTTGGACTTTACCATACTCTGTATTAGATATACTATTACACATGGTGTTGGGAGAGCACTTTTTATATATGTGTATTTCATCTCTTATGTTATGACACATATTTATATGTTGTATTCTATTGAGCAAGCGCCTGTCTGTTTATGGCTGTGATAAAATTCTGTCAATTGGTATGGCACACTTATGTGAATGAAACTGAATCCATGGTGTGGCCCTCAGCCAAGCATGTGCTAGACATACCATCTACTGTATGTATTAAATTTATATTTTGAATGAAATATGTGAAATACATTTGACATTCTTTTTTTTTTTTTTTTTTTTTTTTATTCAGATGGTTTTTATTGAGCAAATTTGTTATGGTGTACAATACAAATAGGCCCAAAACAACGAGCTCATATGAAAAACATAAAACTATACCATTTGACAATATTCAAGCATTTTTCCAACTGTCATTTTTAGGCCATTCACGAGGATGAAGATGAAAATATTGATACATGTTCAACAATTGTGGAGAGTATTCTGGGCAGTGAACACCAGTACTTATATCCCAAAATCCTTCGTTTAGTTATGGCTGACGGCGCCTATCAAGAAGGTTAGTGCCTTTTTTTTTTTTTTTTTTTTTTTAATAAGCAAACATTCCTATTAATGAGTATTAGAACTTTGTGTACCACATAGTTAGGCTGTGTGGAATACAATTTCCTACAAAAGGGTACGTGTTAGACACCCATGCTTTGTAGCTGTTTCTGTGAATGCTACTTGAACTATGTGATATGTGGCTGGAAAAAGCACAGCAAAAGATTGATAATTTTATAAAAACACTGATACCCAAGCTTGGGTTAAATGGAATAAAAAAAAATACTAGCTCCAAGAATAGTAATTCACCTACCTGAATTTTGTTGTGAATACCCATATAATTAATGTATTTGAAATCTATATAAAATGGGATCTTCCAAACCTGGTAGTTATAGACAAGTTTGCGTATACCAAATCTGTACATGAAAAATGAGAAATGTCATGAGCACTATTCAGATGTAAATATAATAAATACAGACTTTATCTTAAAGCAGACCTTTCCATTAAATACAAGGTCCTGCTATTAGATGCAGGTCGCCTGTAAAAATTAGTATGTGCATGTATGAATGTGAGTTGGGGACCTTAGATTGAAAGCTCTTTGAGGGAGGGACTAATATGAATGTACAATATACATGTAAAGTGCTGCATAAAATGACAGCGCTATAGAAGTACCTGTAATAAAAAACTAAATAAATATAAGTGGTTAAAAAATGTATTCTTAAAGAAAATAAATTACATACTTTACTTTTACCTGTCTGCCATCTGCGGCATGGGAAAGTACAGAATTTGAATTTAAACCAACAATGAACAATATACAGCCTGAAAGAACAGAAATCATTTTCATCACTATGACATTTGTCTGACAAATATGCTAACATGTCCTTTTTTTTTTTTTTTTTTTTTTTTTTTCCAATTTTTTATAGACAACGATGAATAACTTCAACTCAGGATTTTCACATTATGCAATTTGCTGCTTGAACAAGATGAAACTCTTTCTATTACATTTAGCCATTCTTCTTCAAAAATTGTGATCTTCTGATCCTTTAAAGAAAGATTGTAATTTTCTATCTGCATGTCATTTCAGAATTTTGTTTTCGCTGATGGTATAATATTCATACCTATTCATTTCTAGGAAGGCTTCACTATCACACTCATCATCAAAACCTATTAGGTATTTATTACGTCATATATCTGAAAAATTAGCCATTTGACTGAAGTTTGCAGGCAGTGGTATACAATGTCAGTGGTTTAAAGTGTAACTGCATGTTTGGTACAGTTACACATTTAGTGAAGGATCCCCTTCTCCACTAGCCTTATACTAAACTTCTCTTTGATCCTGTGGGATATTACTAATAAAGTCACTTACTGCTTGCCAGACTCTTGAACCTGGCTGCACATGTGATATTTATTCTCCATTCAGCCCTATGAAGGGTTTGTACTCTGTGCTCCTGCGAAGTACATAGGATTCAGTGGCTAATGTACTGTACATGTGCAAGGCTGACTCGACAAGAGGCTTGGTGGGCGATATCTTGATGGGTCAAGGACAGGTGAGTAAAGGGATAACTTCTCCAAATAATATTTTTTCATGAATGAGTGCATCTTAAATTGTTTCATTGGGAGAGATAAAAACAAAAAAATCACACCTTCAGCAAAAATAATTTAAATAAGGTAGTTTCTTTAGAAATGTTGTTACATTTTTTTCAGTTTTGCCATTTGTTGAAATGTTCTGGGTTGTTGTGTTAAAAATGTGTAGGATTCCTCTAGTCAGGAGTAAATGGCTTTGATCTATAAGTTGTCTATATGTTTCTTTCCCCAGTTTTACTAATGATTCTTACATCAGGTTTCTTAATTTATCAGTCTTTCTTAGGTTTGTAAACTTCTTTCTTACTTATTTTGATATTAACATTAGTTAAAGTGATTAATATTTAAACAATAAATTTTCATTTGGATATTGGAGACTACTTCTTAGTATTAACTTTAGAAAGAAGGCAAATTGTGATTTATTTTTTTTTTTTGCATTGTTCACAATTAGTCTATTATTTTTGCTACATTGTATAAAAAAAAATATTTTTTTTTTGTAGCGTATACTCCCATTGCTCTTCATGTACACATAAGTTATGTTTTTTCCTATGTGTTCTATGCAATGCCTTAATTTTGTTTAATCAAGCTAAAAATTCTAAAGAAATATGTGATTGTATTTCAGTGTCATTGGGGAAAATACTTAGATTTAGACATATGTGTGCTGCATTGCAGTTGCTCTGTTGCCTCCACTGAACTTTGTTCACATAGATATTCTTTCTTTTCTATGATATCAACAGCGACACCTCCAGGACTTCCCCACAAGACTGCTTCATGATGAACCTCTAAACATGCTATTTATTATATATTTTCTTTCATTTTTGACAAAAAACTGGTTGTTGAACCATTTGTGGTGTGCAATGTGGAAATGCTCTAATAATGTTTACTGCTATAGAGGACCTATACGGGTTAAAGCGATTCTAAATATTATTTTTTTTTTAAATAACAAACTTGTCTATACTTATTTGCTGTGTGCAGTGGTTTTTTCACAGTGCAGACTGGATCCTCCTCTTCTCGGGTCCCCCGCAGGCTCTCCTGGCTCCTCCTGTCTGTCGGGTGCCCCCACAGCAAGCAGCTTGCTATGGGGGCACCTGTTGCTCCATGTGTCCATTCACATATGGAGCCGCAGCTTGGCCCTGCCCCCTTTCTCTCTCTCTTTTGGCTGACTGGCTGTGATTGACAGCAGCGGGAGCCAACTTGCTGTCTCAGCCAATGAGGAGGCAGAGGCCTATGGCAGCCGAGGCTGTCATTTACATCGCTGGATCGCGATGAGGCTCAGGGAAGTATTGAGTGGGCTGGGGAAGCTGCTGCACACAGAAGGTTTTTTTACCTTCATGTATAGAATGCATGAAGGTGAAAAAACCTTCAGCTTTTACAACCACTTTAAATGCTAAGTCTTAAATGAACATTCCTTATATATACATATAGACAACTGTCTATAACTGTGAAAACTGTAAAGGCAGGTAAATTCTGTAGAAATTAACCAAATTTGGATGTTTTTTTCTGAACACAACCGACACATCAAACTCCTTTAGGGTACATTCACACCAGATGCTGTGGAACTGCATTAGGCGGCTATTCCAGCTCAATCCTGCAGTATGACCAGATAAAATTCCTTGTCTCCCTATCTGCCTGGTTCACATCACTGTGTTGCAGTAGTGAGAAGTGGAAAAAAAAAGTACTGCATGCAGTAATTTTTTCAGTACAGCATAGTGCAGTGCAATCCACTGCCTCACAATTTGACATTTCAATAAAGTTATAAAAAAAAAGTGAAAACTGCAGTGCACCAGGTTCAGTGCATCAGCACTGCGCTGATCTGGCCAGACTGTACCACACACCAGCTGCTGCAGCTAGTGTGAACATACTTAACACCATTACATTTGCAGCTTGACTTGTTGCCCTACCTTAGAGTATCACATTTGTCATGACAGAAGAGTTGGGGACCTGTATCACTTATTCCAGAAAGGAAGTTGCTGTAGATACATTTTAGAAGTGTGTTTTACATCACTTTGTTGCGGTTGTACTGCCAGGTGGGATGATACATATGCTTAGACTCATCTAATAAAAGCCTTAAAGTAGAATTCCAGGCTATTACCGACTAAGCTAAACCTGCTCCCACCCCCTTCTAACCACCCTGTTGAAGGGAGATGCTTGTGCTTACCTATGCTGAGGCTGCTCTAGTCCATTCATGTGATCTCCCCAGCTACCAGCTTCAGGGGAGAGGAGAGAGAAGTGACAACTGCTGCAGTACCTGGGCTGTGACAACAACCATAGGCTTACTGTGGGCCTCCGTTATCTGCTGTCCCTCCTCTCCCCTGAGAACAACCCAGGGAGCCAAATGCGTGACCGGACCAGAATGCCTTCAGAACAGGTAAACGTAAGCATCTTTCTTCTACTGGGTAGTTAGAATTGCATTTAGACAGAGGGTGGGAGCAGGTTTAAAGTGAAACTTTAGGAAAAGAAATTAAAAATGGGCAGACAGCCAGGATTTTTATTGCAGAATAGACATGCTTTGTCACTTCTGCATTAAAGCTATCTACCTGCCTGTCCACCCCCGCAGAGTGAGCCACGCAAGCGCAGCTCACAGTACAAATTCGGCAATGCCGAATTTAATGAAACTCCCGAGCATGTGCTGGAGTGACGTCATCCCAACCGGCCAATGACAGCAGCTGGCGTTCGGGACTCAGAAGCCAGGCAGGGAGCTCCAGGACAGCACATTGCAGGATTGGAGATGAGTATAGCTCCGCTTTAAGCTTAGTAGCCTGAACTTCTACTTTCAGTTTTTGTCATCTTCAGGTATAGACAAAACACAGCTTGTACTACTTTTGTGCATTCTGCATTTCCAGGCATTTTATGTACACTGTCACAACCTTGTACTTCACTGATGAACGAATTTGTGGCTGTTGATATTGAGGCACTCTGCGTCTGCACTGTGGCACACATATGAAGGGACTTAAAGGGGCAGTCTACTCAAAACATATTTTGTTTATTGAGAGATGCTAGTTTGTTGCATGAGCTACTGGCCTCTTATGTGTACTTGGGGCATTGTTGGTGAGACATCTGTACCTGAGTTTCCAGATCCACCCACATTACCATCATTATGAAGGATCTTGCTGTCTTTGCTGGGTTTTCCCCTGTGTTATGGTGAATGCAGCAGGGATATCGCAAGTGGAGCCTCGGGGGGGGGAGTCAATGAGCAATTTACTCTCATCAATGTCTACCCAAGATATTAAGTTTGAGTGCAATGATCACTTGAAATATAACTAAAAGTAAAGCCTTTTTTTGTTTTTAGATTTGGATAGTAGAGTAGTGACTGGTTAGATCTTTTGTCAGATTGTTATTGCTGTTTGTGCCCTGTTAAGGAGATTCACTATCTATAACTGCCCTGATCAATTACAGTTAGGTCCATATGTAGTTTTACATAGGCACAGTTTTATATTTTTTCAGGTATTTACCAAAACATATTCAAGCTATAGTTATATAATGGATATGGGCTGAAAGTGCACTCTCAGGTTTAATGTGAGGGTATGTACATCCAAATTGGAGGAAGGGTTTAGGAATTACAGCTCTTAAGAGTAGCCATCCCCCATTTTTCAAAGAACCAAAAGTAATTGGACAAATGAATATAATCATAAATAAAATGTTCATTTGTAATATTTTGTTGAGAATCCTTTACTGGCAATTACTGCCTGAAGTCTGGAACCCATCTACATTACCAAAGATTGGGTTTCCTCCTTTCTGATGCTTTGCCAGGCTCTAACTGCAGTTGTCTTCAGTTGTTCTTTGCTTATGGGTCTTTCTGCCTTTAGTTTTGCCTTCAGCAAGTGAAATGCATGCTCAATTGGGTTGAGATTAGGTGATTGACTCGGCCATTGCAGAATATTCCACTTCTTTTCCTTCAAAAGCTCCTGGGTTGCTTTTGCGGTGTTTTTGGATAATTGACCATGTGTACTGTGAAGGGCTGTCCAATCAAATTTGCTGCATTTGGCTGAATCTGGGCTGACAGTATGTCTCTAAACACTGCAGAATTCATCCGGCTGCTTCTGTCTTCTGTCACATCATCAGTAAACACCACTCACCCAGTGCTACTGGAAGCCACGCATGCCCATGCCATCACACTGCCTCCACCATGTTTTACAGATGACGTTGTGTTCTTTGGATCATGAGCTGTTCCAAGCCTTCTCCACACTTTCCTTCCAGTTATTCTGGTACAGATTAATCTTAGTTTCATCCGTCCAAAGAATGCTTTCCCAGAACTGGTCTGGCTTTTTTAGATGTTTTTTGGCAAAGTCTAATCTGGCTTTTCTATTCTTCAGGCTTATGAATGGTTTGCACCTTGTGGTGAACCCTCTGTATCTG